TTCTAATAGTAGATACTATATATAAGATTACTAAGTGATATATAATACTATTTTAAGGATATTATCTCTTAAAAGAGTAAGTATATATATTATATATAGTTATTAATTATTAATTAAGACCTTAGTATAATAAGAATTACCTATATTAAAGGTATATTATATTATTATTATTATATAAAGAATTAAAGAATTGTATTAGCTTATAGTACTATTAAAGATAAGAGTAATATAGCTAAGCTTTATATTATAAAGAAAATAACAGAAAAAAAGTATAAAAACAGTAAAATGTTATTTTTTAAAGCTATAAAAGACTTAATCCTTTCTATTTATAGAATCTTATTAGGGTATATAGAGGTAGTTAATTCTAATTAATATAATAAAATCATTTTATAAAAGAAGACTCTAACATTTTAATAGTAAATTAGAAGGTAATATAAAGAGTAAAAATATTAAATTATAATTAATATATATTCTTTAACTTATTTATTAGCTATTAAACCTAAAATATTAGAAATAACTAAAAATCTTAAAGTTTTATTTTTTTCTAGAAAAAGATAATTCTATAATTACTAATAAAAACAAATAAAGACTTATAGAATATTAAATAATTTCTTAATAAGTATCTTTATATATTTTCTTAAGAATTTTATAAGTTAAGTTAAGAGTATTATATTACTTTTTAAAAGTATATATTCAGATGTAAAATCCGCTTTTACCGTCACTTTTTGATACCTACTGTAGCTAATTTTGGGAAGCCCTCCGTTGCCTGAATCATGAAGCCCTCCGCTGCCTGATTCATGAAGCCCTCTGCTGCTAGAATCATGAAGCCCTCCGCTGCCAGAATCATGAAGCCCTCCGCTGCCTGATTCATGAAGCCCTCCGCTGCCAGAGTCATGAAGCCCCGTTTATAATCAACTGGTTAATCTACAAAATAAATTTCCCCTCCTTTGCTTTGCGGCAAAGTTGGAATGGTAATAAATCACAGACGTGGAAGCTAAATTTTGAAATGCTCTTCATCTCCAGTTATATCAATTTACATGCAACACACACATGCGTATTAGCTTACTCAAAAGTATTTTCCTGCTCGCTATAATGCTAGATATATAGATTGCTACTTGGCTACTGAGCGGATATTGTTGAATGGGCGCGGTAAAACCAATGTAATCAGAGAGTATACCAAGCCGTGCTAGCAAATTGGCATACCCCTTCATATTCACACCGGATGAATTCACTGTTTATGTTTTACTACCGATTGTTTCCCTATTTAATCATATATATAGCTGATGCCTAATCCCGTCTGTCGAGTATGGCTTCATTCATTCCTTCATACAGTCACTCATTTGTCGCTTACATAGCCGATTATTCACTCGTTTTCACACGCTTACACTCCTTTTGACTTCAAGTCTCTATACCGTCTATTTGTTGTGGCTTTCCGTGCAATGCTTCTCAACTTCCGCCTCGTCGCTACTGGCCTTGCCGCCTTGGCTGCTTGTGCCCAGGCACTCGACATGACCAACTTCACAGCCAATGAAGTAGATTGTGGTACTCCTAGTCTGAGCGTGGAGCAATGGACACACTCAGAGGAAGTCCTCGCGCAGGAAAAAAACACTACAAAGCGTCAAGTGGCCCAACCACACAGGATACCAGCCTATATTACTGTTTTAGCCAAGAACAACACCGTCAATGGCGGCAATATTCAAGTAGGTGGTTTGCGTGCCTTGACTGTCAATATGTCAGGTGTAATAAAAAACTCCTAACACAAAGTCTAAAACAGGAAAGCCAAATCCAACAATTGCTAGATGAGTTCAACAAATTCTATTCCTATGGATTCGAACTCGATACTTCGGTCGACAAGATCCATCGCTACACGCGCCCCGACCTTTTTGATCCTAACTCGGGGATGTTTACTGGAACTTTCAACGACATCCAGAGGCAATATCATCGGGGTGAGGGCGACTATGCCTCATTGAACATTATCTTCCTTTTTCGCCTTAGAGACTGGTACAAGAACGATATCACTACCGAGAGGGGGCCTAACGGTGAAACCTGGACCTCATGGAGGCGTCGTTCCGGAGGCATCTCGGGCCGGGGTTCTATCCCCGTTGCCGGAATTTGGGAGGCCTCTAACGCAAAGGAACTCGAGATTTCAGACGGCATATTGGTCTCCTCTGCCACCATTCCGAATATGGCTTATCCGGAGCACCAGGGATCGTTGTCTACATTCTCCCATGAGGTTGGCCACTGGCTTGGACTAGAGCACACAGATCACTCGCGCCGCAAAGGCAGCTGGGGTAGAACGGCCTGCGATCGGGTTAACGACGGTATTGATGATACTCCAACTCATATGATAGACGCGAATGTGGCAAGGATTATGCCAGGATGCCCTCCACAAGGCCAAATCAACACCTGCCAGCATCTTGATAGTAGACCTGACCTTATCTATAATTTGATGACCCCGAAAACTTAGTGAGTATTCATGTTACCCTGTTAAAGCGAGCCGAGAGTCTAATCAAGATGTACTATAGCGGCTGCAAGATGGATGGCTTGACAGATGGCCAGAAGCAAAGAACGTTGGACGTGTACGAAAAATTCCGCATGCCTTATAAAGGGCAGTTGCAGCAGAAGGGACGTTGGGTGCAGCCGCAAGGTCAACAGTCGCAGGAGGAGGGGTCGCAGGTGGAGGAGCCGCAGGAGGAGGAGAAGCCGCAAGAAAAGAAGCCGCAAGATCAACAACCGCAAGACCAGCAACGTCTACAGCTGAATCAGAAGAAGGAGCAGAATGAGAAGAACTGTTTGAACGAGGTGGATCAAGAGTACAAGCAGCGTGAAAAATGGCTGACGAAGTCGATGCCGGAAAAGTTCAACCAGCTGCAAGCTGAACGCGATGAGATGTGGGAGTGGCTCGAGCAATACCGGCAGCAACCGCAATACAGTCAGTGGGCCGACGAAGAATGGAAGCGGCGGGAAGAAGGCTTTTCGGGACGGAAGAAGGAGTATGAGCAGAAAGAACGCGGGTATTGGCAGGACCTGAAGCAAGACACGCAAAAGGGACAAAAGCGGTGTAGAGAGGAGGAGCAAAAGTAATATGACCGAAACCGACGAGGGCTGAAATTTGCCACATAGGATTTGAATCTTGTCACATAGCCCACATAATGGCTTTGTACCCCTTTAATAGAAGTCCTCGTCCTCTACCCATCCTCTACCCTTTTTTCTACCTGATACACATATTAAGGCACCGTTTAAAACATAACGCGCCTGACAGAGGCGCTTAAATAACTTTCTAAAGAGCTCTTAAAAGCGCTCTTAAAGGCGCTCTTAAAGGCGCTCTTAAAGGCACACTAGAGGCACGCTTAGAGGCACGCTTAGAGAGGTACGCTCTAGAGTAGAGACGCGCTAGAAGGAGGTTCTTCTAATAGAGACTCTAAGAGAGTGACTTTAGTGAAATTCTTTACTCTAATTAGTCTATTAAGACCTGCAAATTACCTTAATAGGTAATCGCTATGTGATGAGATTTAAATCCTGTGTGGCAAATTTCAGCCCTCGAAACCGACAGGATTTTCGTAAGTGGTCGGAGGAGTATATCAAGTCACTACAGGACAATGACCGCAAGAATCAGAAGTACATTGATAGCCTGTGAAGGAAGCAGTAAATAGTGATAGTCCGCTATAATTAGGGATTGTTGGAAAGGCGTTGGCTACCTATGGAGAAGTTGCTACTTGAAAGATGGGAGTTTGGTGGGATGATATTCTGATGGGATGAAATCCTGATGGGGAAGAAGTGGAACTTTCAAGTCACAGTCGGCATTGTAGGCTTGAACAGCCATGCTAATGGATAATGTCATTTATTAGATTGTGTTCGATTTCTTATATACACGTCTTATCCCCCCCCCCCCCCCCCCACCAGCGAATCCCCTCTCCTCTCATTCATGTCTTTTCCTCGTATATTGTGGCAAATTTCGTCAAGACACTCTTCAGCGCTGACCTCCGTATAGGCTTTGCCAGAAACTCGTCCATGCCCGACTCGATGCACTCTTTGCGATTGCTCTCCTCGGAAAATGCTGTCAAGGCCACGATGGGGGCCGCATAGCCCATCTGCCGAATCAGCTTGGTCGACTGAATGCCGTCCAGATTGGGCATTTGCACATCCATAAAGATGAGATCAAATTTCCGATTTCGCTCCATGTTGGCCTTGACCACCTCGTATGCCTCGCGACCGTCCTTTGCAATGCAAACATCAAGAACCTTTTCCAGTTTGAGCATTCTGCGTACAACCTCGATATTCGTCGCATTGTCGTCAGCCACGAGCACACATAGCTCGCTGTTTGCCGACTCGCCTCCAGAGGTTTTGGCCTTGTCGGCTTTGGCTTTTTGGATGGCAGCTTGCGTCTCGACGCTCGTGGTTGGCGGCGCAACGACGGTGGTTGTTGGGTTGCAAGGTGGGACGGGCGGCGTCTGGTAGGGATTCGGTGGGAAGAATGGTGTGCTGAGGCCGACAAGACGAGGCTGAATATCGGTTCTGTGGCTGTCGTTGCTGTTTGCTGTAACTACTGGATCGGGGTCCTGCGCAAGCACACTGCTCAAAGAGTTGCGGTGGCAGCTGCTGCTGCCGCCGCCGCCACCACCAGTTGTTGAGCCGCCAACGCTTGGTGCTCTTGACACTTGCCTCGTGCTTTCCGACATGGTGCTTGGCACACGGTCTATGATATGTTCGAGGGGGATTTGTAGACTAAATGTTGAGCCGAGCCCCTCACTGCTTCTTACAGTAATCGTGCCGCCCATTAGCTTGGCCAGCTGTGAGCAGATACTCAACCCCAATCCGGTGCCGCCAAACTCTTTGCTGAAGCTCGAGTCCACTTGCACAAATGGCTCAAAGATTTGATCCTGCATGTTGCTGGGAATGCCGCGCCCTGTATCTTCGACTTCGAATGTAAAGAGATATGCAGTTGCGAGACTATCGGCCAACGTCGGCGGTCTTTGCACGTCTTGAGTAAACATGACGTGGGAGTCACTAGCGAGATCTTCTTGATCGCATGTCTTTGTTTCAATCTCTCCTGTTTCCGAAGCCGACGATGGCGAGCATCTTGCTCGAGTGCCACTCTTTTCGCTGCTGGATTGAGATTTTTGTGTCAAAGCCTTTTGCCGCGTGCCCTGCTTCACCGTCATCGCATCCCCTCGCTGTATTCGAACCTGAACCTTGCCGCCCGCTGATGTAAACTTCAAACTGTTGCTAACGAGATTGATGATGACTTGTAATATCCTGTGCTGATCTCCCAAGACGTACATGTCGCGTAGGCGGCCAGGACGGCCAGTTTGGACCAAACTTTGTTGGAGAGGAAGATGTGGTGTCTCGTGATGATCCTGATATTCTGGACTAGATAAAACGACTTCTAGATCGATTTTATTGTCCCTGGCTTGTTTGTCGAAAATAGATATGATTTGCGACCGTATTTCCCCGAGTCGGAATTCCTTGAGCTCGAGCTTGATCTCATGGTTGACTTGGTTTTTGGAGAAGCTGAGCAAGTCTTCCAAGAGGTGCAGTAATAATTCGCCTGGCGTTCCCGTTAGCCAGCCTGCCGCACATGTAAAATTTTCATCCGACTCACCAGATCGATATAGGGTCTTCAAAGAATGCTGTATATGGAGAATGTCGTTTTCTTCCATACAGACGGCACATATGCCCATGATTCCATTGAGTGGCGTCTTGAGTTCATGAGAGATATTAGCGATAAATAGCGTCTTACTCTCACTCGCAGCCTCGGCAGCCTTTTTGCTGATTTCCAATTCCCGGGTCCTCTTTGCCACTTGCTCATCGAGTGATGTGTATTGTTTCACAAGCTCATCCGTCATTTTGTTGTAGACCTCTGTGAGTTCTGTCACTTCATCAGTAATCAGATGCGATCTCTCCTTGACCCTGCCAGGAATCCTAAAGAGTCGGCGGTGATTGTCGATTTCGGCTTGCGTCAGTGCTTGCTGGGGCTTTGCGAACTTTCTTTGGAAGCTTTGAAAAATCCCCCTAATCGAAGCTGACGATAGAGTGCCTCCGGTGCTGGCTGCGTTCTTGTCTTCATCGCCGTACGTGAGATTGCACCCAGGCACCGAGATTGACTTTTCAGTGGCTGTCTTGAGTCTCCGAATGGGGCGGACGCTAAAGTATGCGCAAGGTATGATGAGTATCATGACCAAGCCGGCAGTTCCGAATGCGCATCCGACTAAGATCTTCCGTAGCTGCGAAATGGGGAGGTAAGCCTCGCTGTGCGACTTTTCTACGACAATGGCCCAGTCAACGAGTGTGGTTCGTGGGCGAGCAACACCGACTGCTACCGAGAACCCTCGCTCGTTCTTTTCTGTCAAGCTAGCGCGGGCATTATTCGGCTTCCCATTGTACGTCGAGTACACACCATAGATGGCTGGGTAGCGAGACAAGACAAAGGGTAAGTCCCAATTTCCTTGCTGAACTTGATGACGATCGGGTTGTCCTGGAGGAGTGATGGGTGACAATACAAAGCGAATTTCGTATTTGCTCAAAGAATTCTTTGGTGGCCGAAAGGTGGCATTGGAGGGCAGTAGTGGTGGCGTGAAGCGGTTTGACGGATCGTTGGGAGTGACGAGTATGGCGACGCCAGTGCTGCCAAGTCCATCGGTCGCTGTTTGGATGTCAAAGAACGAGTTGGCAGCAGCGACCAGCGTTAGATATCCTAGTATAAATCCATTGGCCTGCAAAGATCGAATCGGGATCGTGAGTGATACAAGCGCGAACGTCTGGTTGATAGCCAGTGGGCCAAGGAGCAGCCCCCGGCTATCGCTCAACAACACGTCTGGAAAGGCACTAGCCGACACGGCAGTCTCTGAGGTTATATATGGATTTGGATAGTCCAAGGTTGCATAGGTGATGTTTGGATACAGACAGGGAGGGTATCCGAATTCAGCATCGCTGAGGTTGACGCGTGATCCATTGGGAGTGAGGTACGGTAATTCGATGTTTTGCGTCTGCGTCCCAACGCCGGAGCCCGTCACACTGACAAGCCCCGTTGCATTCTCGCCAGTCTGGTTTCGCGAGTAAATCCGGGCCTGCAGCAGACCAGTGAAGCTGTTTGTGGCGAGGGCGCTTTGTAGGTCGGTGACGGTCGGCTCAAATGGATCCGTTGTTGTCGAGTTGCCATTATAGTAATTGACCAAAGACTGCTGTATCAGGATGCGCGTGGAGATGGTGCGGCTGATGGTGTTAAGCAGCTGTAGCTGTGAATCAATTTTGGCTGCGTAGAGCGATGCTGCGAGGGCAAGGCTGTCAGTTTCAACATTGGCGACGAAGCTTTGGACGTATATCCACGTCGGCACTGCGACGACGGCGAGGGCGAGCAGGGCGACGGCGCTCACAAGCAGCGCAAGCTGGATCCAGATTGGGACTCTCATCCTGTTAATCGCAACACCTACTCGGCTTGGAAGGGGCAATGGCCGCTCTTCACTCTGCTCTGAATGTGCTCAGTCCCGACGACCAAGCGCAAAAATCGAGCAGCAGTACAGCGCGCTGATTACTTGAGTGGTCGCTGTCCTTGGCGAAGAAGACGATTTGCTGACAAGAGCAATCTGGGCCGCGGCGATTGCAATCATGACGGATATCGGCGAAATATGCAACGCAAGAGAGAGGAAAAGAAAAAAAACAACACCATCTAGCGACGGACCGTTCCTGGGCATTAGGCCCGTGGCGTCTGGTGCCGTTATTCTAGACTTATGTACAGACGGATAGACGTCCACGGACCTCAATAGCGGCAACGGGCAGGCACACCAACTAGTTAATTATTGTAGTAAGTCTGCCCCCTTGGCCCCGTAGCAGGGGGCCGGACGAGTTGCTCCGTGGTCGCATGGTAAGTAATAAATACGAAGCAGGTGCTGCAGACAACGGCCACAGCAGCAAGTTGACTCAGTGAGTTGATGGCTAGTAAGACAAGACGTCGCCGTCCATCGAGATTTGCTGCGTTCTAGACCGTTCCGAGATTAGCCACAATTTTCATCTATTTGCACCGCTTTTTTTGTTGTCAACAACTGCTCCCCATGTCAGATTTTCGGGCCAATGATGAGAATGGATGTGCCCCTCACTTTGTGAATGAGAGCGAAAATACGAATACAGAGACCATCCGTTACTTGGAATGTAACACAGGGACGGCTGCGGGTTGGGGTTTACGAATACCAGTATTGTAACCATATTTCCAGTTTGTAGAGCGACAGCGAGCACATTCTGGCACCTCTACAGAATTTGCCCAGCAACTAGTTCACTTGGCAGGCTGAGTTGCAGTAACTATGCTGAATGATGCAAATCTACAATCTCTTCTTGAGCGAATCATAGAGCGGTAATACCTAACGTTAGCGGCTGAAAGAGGCATGTGTTGGTAAAGGAAGAATTAATAAAAAATATTATCGAATCACATCCACTCCGCAACGCCATCTTTCTGATTAAATTGATAAGCTATGGAATATTATGGAACAGAGTAGGGCTAAAAAGTTTTGACGGGGCAATTTAGCCAAACTTGTACAGGGACAAAGGGAACTAGTCTTGACCTGCAACCACCAGCATGATAGTTATGCGGGGAGGATAGGTAGTTTACTTGCATGCACCAGCTATTATGTAATAACCTTGTAGTTTGCTTGTATCGAAAATACAGCTCCTACAATAATTATTGTAATCGGCATCACTGGTTGATGGAGGCTACCAAGGACAATTCGGTCGAGTTTCAGCTTCGAATTAACTCTTGCACATGTATGAGCAAGGTATTTGGCATGCCCTCATCACATCCCATCACATACCATCAGACTAGATGCGATATTTGGAAACCATGACTGCGCTGACCTCTCCGCCTCTGGACCGTCTTGTCGCTGAGCTGATACTCTCGCATCATCGGACTACTCGACACCCGATTGCTGGTCAACGTTTATTATTGACCTCGACCAAGTGTCACCCCGATCATCGACTGTAATTCATATTTTCCCCGTTCAAACGAGAACAATTTTAGATAGAAGTAAGCTCTCCGCCGCAGCTTGCGTGTGTTTCGGCGACTTGGATTCCAGCAGCCCACTCGCGGAAGCTATCCTGAACCCCGCGGGTCGACCGAGGATTCGAGCTCGTCTTGTTGCGCGCAGGCACACCCTCGAGATTGAGAGCAAACTCGGCCGCAACATGTGCGGCAGCCTTTGCATTCTTTTCGTACGCGTCCCAGTTGATATTGTCGAGATTGTCGCACAGCAGGTGGTAGCATTTGTCAAAGGGCGCTCCGGCGCCAGTAAAGATGCCGCTGCTAGGTATTCCAGCTTTTAGGAAGCCAACATAGTCGGATGAGGAGCCGAATTTACTACAGATTGAAAATTAGAGTTATTAGCTGTCAAACAGTTTGTGGGATTAAAGGTCAAACATACGCGTATTCGGGTGTAGCTCCGGCCTCTTTCAGGTAGTCATACAATGGTACGGCTCCGTACTCGTGTGCGTCGTTGTCAGCATAAACGACAAATTTCGGCTCGGGACTAGCTATCATATCATAGTTGAAGTAAAACTTGATCTTGTCTTTTTCTGCATCCGACAGTTGCGCCGTATAGTACAGAGAGCCAATCAGGCCAAGCCTGCGTACAAGTGATTATCAGCATTCGTTACTTGCACAATACAAAGAATGCCATTGCGCCAATAATGACTTACTCTTCAGCCCCCCACCAAGCGAAGCGAATCTTGTTCTTGAAACCCGTGTACTTTTGAAAAGAAGTCGCAATCTCAAGCAGCGCGGCTGTGCCACTCCCGTCATCGTTGATGCCGGGACCGGGCTGGACACTGTCGAGATGCGCTCCCAGCATGACCACATTGTCGGGGTCGCCCTGTTTTGTTTCTGAAATAATGTTCCAGCCCGGGCGCGGCTCGGTCACTGCGTCTATGATCAGTGTCACACGGAGGTCTTCGCCCGCGGCAAGTCGAGTGCGCCAGGCCTCGCCCACGTCACGAGAAACGAGGCCGACGGGGACTAGGAGACCGAGATTGCTGGCACCGAGCGTGGCGCTCGTAGGGGTTCCGGGAGCATTGTGGTAGAGGACAGCCGCGAGGGCGCCGTGCTGTCGGGCCAGTTTTAGCTTATCCGCGATTGCACACGTGCCGCGCTTGAGTAGAACAATCTTGCCAGTGGCATTGACACCGTTCCACTGCTCTGGGAAACACATGGAACCCCGTTCGTCGTCGACTGGAGTGTCCAAGAGCGATCCTGTAGCACCTCCAGGGAGGGGTGTCGCAGAGACATACTGCAGGGCGTAGACATCCACTGGCTCGCCGTCTGGTCCCTCGAGTTCAATTTTTCGAACTTGGCTAAACGTATGGTTGAACTCCTGAACATACGTGTCCAGCCGTTTACCGAAACGCTTCGAGACACGCTCTAGAACAAAGTCCCGAGACGCTTTGAATCCGGGTAGACCGTGTGCGCGATTGCCACCATTGTCGCGACCAATCTTTTGCAAGTGCCAAAGCACGTTTTGCAGCCTTTTTTTTTCCTGCGTTAGTGGTATTGCAAGCCAGTAGGTAGGTACTTCAAGCTAGTAAAGGGCAGTCGCTGCACTTACTCTCCAACCTTGATATCATTGACAGCCCTCTCTGGAGTAATCGAAACAGTAGCTCCCGATAGCCCTGCGAGACCGAAGATGCCCAAGGCCGCAGCTGTGAGGAACTTCATTTTACAGACTCTTGATTGAAGTTGTAGTGCAAGTGCAGGTGAGGATGGGGAGGGGAAGAAGATCTATGATGGCGTCTTATGTAAAAGAAATATGCCGAACGCCAAGGCAACCTAGACTTGCCAAGGCGTGCAATACACCTTTGATCATTCGTATTGTGCATCACGCGATCCGTGGTTCCTTTTCGCACCTTCCATCTTGGGCAGCTGGTAAAAGAAGCTTCTTTTTGCGTGGTTCCTAGTGGCCTTTGCCGCCAAGATTTGATCGGCGGGGTGATGGCATCCTTGAAAGTGTGGCTGAATCTTTAACACGCTATTTGATTCAGCAGGAAAATGTGTTTGTGTTAAAGCCTAGTATTCGCATAAAAAGTACGCAATGCATAGTGCGAATGGCTGGTTTTTTAGGGCCATTAGATTTACACGAATGAAAAAAAGTCACCACCATTTCATCTCGAAAATGTCCCGAGAGATTTGGCGAAGTATCGCTTTGAGCTTGGTGTGAGAGAGAAGCCTCGCCCTGCAACATTTACACAGCCGAATTTCTGGAGCAAAGCAATTGCCACTGGGCGGGGCACAATTCTGTGCGTGGAGGTTGAGTCAGTCTAGTTAGTGACATTGCGAATCCCCTCACGACGAGGCTGTGAGGACAAAGGGTTATCGGATCCTTGCTGAAAGGGACACTACCTCTGCGAGGTGGTCCAAGACGTGACTGTAAACGACGCTTAGTGACATGTTGTGCAAAAAGGACCTGTAAAAAGTGCCGGCAGACGATGTGGACGCCTCCAGTTAGGGCGTGCCACGTTGGCCAGCTGTTGGGCGTCGGCGGACAGAAGCAGCAAAAGCAGCAAAAGATCCTCCGTTTTCACGATGGCGAGTTTCCTAAACTGGCAGAGGCTCGTCGTCAGCTGTGGCATCAATGTTGCATCATTGGTCCTGGACGAGATTAACTGATTTACTCGGGGTCGCTAATAATGATGATGAATGTCCAACAGCTGGAGTCGGCTGATTGTAGCACTACTGGGTGATGGTGATTTAGAGGCCAGCCAGCGTTTGGTGAGAGATCTACAGAGTTATTGCTAGGAAACAGTGCCATTTTGCCAAGAGGACAGTGCATTACATTTTGCTAAGGCTAAGGGGACAGGTGCACGTGACGCGAGGTAATTCGACACAACAGAGACATCTTGCAGCTGAGCTTGAGACCCCTAATAATAGAATCTACCTAGTTTATAATCGCTATCAGGAACCCATCAATAAACGCGTTATCCGTCACACCCTCCTTTCCTGTAATCTTTGGCACCAGCGTCGCCGTCACCTTTTTTTCCGCGCCAACCCTCTCCACCAATGTGCCCTTTCCAACACTACCATCGTGGCAGGTGATGATTTCCTGCACGACATTGTCGATAAAGATGCATCCATTCTTGCGTGTCAGCTTGACGGCCCAGTCAAAGTAGTCGGCATGCTGGCCCCAGTCGGCGTCGATGAAAACCATGTCAAACACCCTCCCCTCGCGCACAAGCTCGGGCAGCACGCTTCGCGCGTCGCCTAGGATGATGTCGGGCTCGATTCCAGCAGCGCGCAGATTCTCGCTCGCGATGTCACGGTGCTTGGGGTCAATCTCGATGCTCGTCACTTTGGCGCCCGTCTTGGCGAGGCAGATGGTGGAGTAGCCGCCGAGGGCACCAATCTCCAGGACCGTCTTGGCGCCGATAAAACGAGCCTGGATGGCAAGAAGCTGGCCCTGTAAAGGGGATACTTGGATGGACGGCATGCCGTTCTTGGCAGTGTTGGAAAGGGCATGCTCGAGATGGGGGTCGGGCTTTACAAAGGCTTTCTCCGCGCCGGCTTCAATCGCCACGACGTGAGCAATCTTTGTGGAGAGAGGCAATGCGGAAGACATGGCCAAGGAGCAATGGTGGGTGAAGAATGACGGTAATAATGTTTACCACTAATTTAATGTTCAAGATGGCAGGTTTACGTGCAACAAGTACATCAAAACCATCAAGGCAGATTCATCGTCTCTTTATATTTGGCGTGGTCGGCTTCGGCTCGGAGGTAAAGACGGTTCCCTCCCCCGCACGCAGCATCAACCTCTTTCCCGTAGTTTTCGATCCGATACTAGTTGGTGCGTCGGCTTTTGTCAATGTCACGGAACACGAGCGGAGTATATGATTGGGATGGCCCGTGGTGGACTACACTCCTGCCAGCGTAGAAAGGAGGCATGCCCTGCTTGCCTAACAATGCTACCATGCACTAGAGAATGGTAGTGCCGCAGAGCTGCTGCCTAGACCAGCTCAATGTAGCATTTACAATCACTCGGCCGAGCATGTCAGTTCGGTGTACTGTAAGTCCATGTCCGAATGACCACGTGTAAAGCTCATGGGCAGTTGTCGAGATACACGACTCTTGATTGGCAAGCACTAGTAACTAGCCAGCCTCACGGACACTGTTCACGACGTTTATGATGTTTATGACTGGCACACTACATTCCTTGATTATTTAGATCCATCATTGGCAGGACAAGCTTCTCCAACATACCATATGAGCTCCAGGTCAAATCATGCATTTTCTGCCCTTGTATACCCTGGTATCAATTTTATGGATGACGAGACAAGGCTAGCACGACTGCAAAAAATACAGCTTGTTAAAAAGTCAATGTTGGACTAGTTCTTGTCGGTGGCGCGACCACTGCTGGCTCTGAATACTCGTTATTATTAGGTAGTCAAGTAATTAGTTTGGTTTTTGAGTGACCAGCCGCATCATAGTAAGCCACCACCATGATGAAAAAAATCCCACATCTAATTCCAGTTCGAGGCCTCCGCAAATAACTTTAATCTATATTAACTGCCCTCAAAGCCATTTCATATGATTCCACACATCTCTAAGCCTGCAGGGGCATAAATGTTTAGATAAAGTGCTCTGTTGCGGCCTCGTAGGGTAGATTGGCAGCAAGCTCGTCAGTCGTGTTGGTGGCATGATGACAAAGGATTAATCCTTTATTTACAGCACGACGCCGCGGTATCCGCTCAGCCTCGGTAGTTACGACGCGCTACAGAAATCGCCAAAATCCGTCCTTTCCACAAACATCAGCAATGTTTTCATGACAAGTCACGATACATTGTGTCTCCCTTGACCATCATGTCGACGTCCACCAAGGACCTTGTGCCTGGCCCGATGGGCCTGTTCGACAAGGTGTCATTATCGTGGCTCGTCCCGCTTACCAGTACGAGTTCTTCCCCTTCTATTTGTTATTTACAAGCGCCTATCCCCAGTCTTGGCGTCCCAGTCCACGCCGTTTGCGTCAATATTCTGTTTTTACTGATCCATGGCCCCTTGGCACTAGTTGCGCGAGCCTTTTTTGGTTTCGCATCACGCAGTATCGACGCTTCGTCTCTGCACTGGCGCCAAAAGCTTTCCATTTCTCTCCTCCAGGCCTTGCGTAAGACGCTCAACCCGCGACATACCTTTGCGCACTCGAGACAGCGGCTCACCGGAGCTGCCGTCAAGGACTACTGTCATGACCATGGGCTCGAATATGACAGCATCACCGTAGAACTGCCCGAGCATACGTCGGGGCATGATGCCCACGAACGAGTTCCCTGTCCAACACTGCATCTCGTCACTCCCGCAAATGCGCCTCTGGATGGTCCGATACTGCTCTACGTCCACGGCGGAGGCTACCTGAACCCCTTACAGGCACCCGGCCACATGCCGTTTGCGTTGCAGTGTGCGGCCTCGTGTGCCGCGACTCGCCTCATTGTCCTGGAGTACGCGCTAAGCTCGGAGCACGCCTATCCTGTGCAGCTAATACAAATGGTGGCCGCAGTCAAGTATTTATTCCACCAGGCTATACCTGGTGCTACTATCGATGCCGGCATGCAGCCAGAAAATCTCATAATGGCAGGCGACAGTGCAGGTGGCCATCTAATCGCTAGCTTACTCCTACACGTGGTGCGGCCATCCCCCTATGCACCACCAATGACCGAGTTGAGCGGCGAGCAAGGGAAGCAGCTTCGCGCCGTAGCACTTTGCTCGCCATGGATGACAATGAATACCACCGACGCCTCATTTACAGCAAACGACGGCAACGACTATCTCTCAGCCCAGCAGTTGGATGTATTCATCCGTTTATTCGAGCCATTGTCCACCGAAGTCTGGGCATCGCCCATTGAGGCTGACGATGCAGTCGAGGCGTGGAAAGCCGCCTTTCCGCCCGCATTGACTGCCACGGCTTCTCGTGCAGTCAAAGGGCCCGTGGCGAAGCGTATGCTAGTTACGTCGGGAGCAGGAGAGACACTATTTGACTCGTGCATTAAATTTGGAGGGGAGCTGCTTCGTGCAGATATGCTGGTTCTAGACTCTGATGAAAAGGTCGCGCTCGTGACCAGCAAGGAGCTAGTCTTGACCATTGCACCGGATGAGGCCCATGTTCAACCGGTGCTGGATTCTGCGCTCGGCTATGCTCACGGGCGTTCAATGACGGCTGTCGACCAGTTTCTGCGATCGGTATAAGAACCATTTGTTCAATACAAATTCTCCAAGTTACTATTCGATTACTGTTGGAAATACAAGTTTTCGAAATGCGGGTCAAAAAATAGAGTATGCCATACACTTGTGATATATCGTATAAAATCATGTAGTTATACTGCTTACTATTGGACAGCTCATAGTTATTGCGTCGTGCTGCATCACATGGGCTGCTGGCAAATGCACACTAGCTCTAATATGGCGACTCGGGAGCAACTTTATGCCTCTCTGTCACGCTCTTGCAGCTCAGCCTTGGCTACTAGGAACAAGGTTCCCAGAGAACTCACACCCCGCTTCTTATTAAGCGTTGCGTTTTAGAGTTACAGGGACACATTCCAAGTTATGGAAACGACGCTTATCCCGCCGACCGCATGATCACGGATGTACGGTAGCCAGGCGGACTGTCGCGGCTGGGTGGGGTCGATGAGTCCAACGATAGTGTCCACAATCCGAAGAAACGTCATCCGCTAACAAACTAACTAGTTAGTTATGCTTGTTTCCTACTGGTACAAATTCGTGGCGTGATCCCGCACATCGTCAAGGCCGAGTTCCGTGTGGGCCACGCGGTGCGATATAGTTAGACATTGAGAGAACAGTGCGGCCGGGACCGTATTGCGTCGCCAGCCTCCGGAAGTGATTGAAACTATGATGTGCTTCCCGACATCCCGTGATGCCGAGGAACCCCGACAATACCTGCAAGCTGCAGACAGCTGCAGACAGCTGCAGCTGAGAGGGTGCCTTACTATCAAGACAGACATACTCCAAGGACTTGGATTTCACCCACGTCTTTTTTTTTCCTCGAAAGTATATAAGGGAGGCGGTTGGGACTCTTGTTTCAACTTCTTTACACACCCTACCCACAAGCTCTCTATTCTTACACACGAAAGAACCCTTTCATCGCAACTAAACAACAATAATGTCTGCACCGATCCGAAAGTACAAGGCGGCTGCCGTCCAGGCCGAGCCCGGCTGGTTCAACCTCGAGGAGTCTGTCCAAAAGACTATCAAACTCATCCAGGAAGCCGGCGAAAAGGGCTGCAAGCTCATTGCCTTTCCTGAGCTATGTGAGTTTCTGTAGCAGATGGGTAATCGAGAACAAAAATCTAACGAGTTTAGGGATCCCCGGGTAAAATTACAGACGATATAAAACACCTCTTTTTCACACTAACAGAATCTTTAGATATCCCTACTTTCAGTGGCGCGTCAACTACCAGGATTCTCTGCCACTTCTCAAAGAATACCACAAAAACAGCCTGAAGCCAGACTCTGTCGAGATGCAGCGCATCCGGCTCGCCGCAAAGGCTGCGCAGATTTTCGTCTCTCTCGGCTACTCGGAGCTTGACGGCCACACGCTGTACACGGCGCAAATCATCATCGACCCGACGGGCACCGTCATTAACCACCGCGGCAAGATCAAGCCCACTCACGTGGAGAAGCTCGTGTTTGGTGAGGGGACCGGCGACTCGCTCAACACAGTCGTCGAGACGGAGATTGGCAGACTCGGCCACTTGAACTGCTGGGAAAACGTGCGTTCCCAGTCTCGTTGCCGGCGATGAGAATTACGAAAAAGCTAAAAAGATTTTTTTTTTTTTTGGATAGATGAACCCCTTTTTGAAGGCGCTCGCCTGCGCTCAGCACGAAGAAATTCATGTTGCTGCATGGCCAGTCTACCCTCCTGCCTCGACCCTCAAGTACCCCGATCCTTACACCAACATCTCCGAGGTCCAGTCCGAGTTTGTGACTCCCGCCTACGCCTACGAGACGGGTACCTGGACCCTGGCGCCCTCCCAAGTCGTGACTCGCGAGGGCGCTCGCCTCAACCTGCCCAAGCGTCTGCAGGACGACGAAGACGCCGTCGATGCCGAGTATGCCGTCATTGGCAACGGCTTCACTCGCATCTACCGCCCCGACGGCTACCGCGCCGTCGAGGACCCGCCCAAGACTTTTGAGGGCCTGGTCATTGTCGATGTTGATTTGGATGAGAACCTGCTTACCAAGCGCCTTGCTGATTTTGTAAGCCCTCAACTCCTCCCTCCTGCTGGTACCGCCGCGGGTTCCGATGCACTAACAGGCGGTGTTAAGGGCGGACACTATATGCGTCCTGACTTGATTCGGTTAATGGTGGACAAGAACCCAAAGACTCTGATTGTTGATGCCAATGCGGCGGACCCGAGAAAGGTTCCTAGCTCGTTGGAGAGACTTGGTCTTGCTAAGCCGCTTCCTGCCACCGAGGAGTAACTCTTTTTGTTTGTTTAGATAGACTATCTCTACTCGAACTTTTGTAAACCCTTTTGTATTCTTTTGTCCAACATTTTTAGATCTTATCAAGTTAGAAGGCGGTTATAGCGCTCGAGAATAGACAACCCTACACCATTCAAGTCACTTCGTAAGGGTGATTACAGAGCTAAAGCGTCATGATTCGCAATTTTCCATCCTCTGCTTTACTATCGAAACTGATAAGGGAGTTCTATATCTATTACGACTCTTTGGATACCAATTTAGACCAAGACTTTGCAGACTTACTATTTAGAGTGCAAGGTGATTTAATCATCTAGAGAAGGAAACATATATTCTTGAATTTGTAGATTAACACTTTTCAAAACTACGTTTCAGGGCAGCCAGTAACGCGGCTTTTGCGGCAGCTTCTGCGGCTTCCGCTGCTGCCAACGCAGCTTTGGCTGCAGCTTCAGCAGTCCCTCCCTGCGGCGTGCCCAGCTTCCACCGCTACGAAGGTTGTTTTTTTTTTTTCCATTGTTTCCGGTGGCTGCGGCCGGACCCTGGTGCCCTGACTGGGGGGTGGGCGAAGGGTCGTAAGGGTTCTGGCGCGGGATTTTTTTTGGCACCCACGGATGTGGGTGTAGATCATCCAGGTTTTGACGCATACAGTAGAAATGAGGACAAGTATTCATCTAGGATAAGTGAGCTACTTTAGCCTTATCTTTTAGATAAGAAATACACTAGTTTTACAATACGACAACGTTTATTTACAATACTATTTAATTAGTTATATTTATTTATCTTCATGTTCTTTAACCATGGACATCACCTATAGTAACTACTCGCTGTGGTTTGCGTGGTTTCCTAGCCTCTCTATAAACAGAAAGACATGGTTGGCGACGTGGAAGAGAGAAAACCACAATTAAGCAGATAAAGTGAAATAGTATTTTAAATTGGTAAACTTCCAGGCCGACTATTCAGGCTCTACAAACGACATCAGCAGCTGCCTCAGCTCCGGAAGAGTTATAATCTTCAAACGCTTAGAGGCAGGCTCAGCTGCACCTTGAATTCCCTCCATACCTGGTAACAAAACCGCATCCACCACATGAATAACGCCATCATCAGCTAATATATCCTGTGCTAAAACGTGCGAACTACTGTTCAAAGTCAAGGCAATCAAGTCATTGTACCTTGCAATATGCAAGGAAACAGCTGCGGGTAAATCTCGCGCCGTATCAATGGCCATGGTTGCAAGCGATTGTGTCTGCTGGCCTTTGCAGACTCCAATGCTATCTTTGGAAGATATGCGGTGGCCGGTGTTGTTCTTTGGCCAGATCAGGTTTGTGTAAACGGTGACGTTGGGACAGATGTGGTATTTGATAAGGGCTTTCAGATACGGATAGCCTGTCTTGGGGTCGAAAAGGAACTCGAGTATTTCGTCGTCGAGAGCCCTGAAAGCAGCATCAGTTGGCGCGAAAATTGTTCGGCCTTTGATGCCTAGGGCGGCAAAGTCATCAGCCATCTTCAGCTCGAGAAGAGCCTTGTTGAATAGACTTAATTCCGAGAACGATTGAAGCACGCTGAGAGAGCTGTGCGGCGGTGTCAGGACCCGGTCGAGGTAGTGCACAATGCCATTCTTGGCGATGATGTTTCCAGTGGTCAGCGTTGCTGCCTCATTGATTTGAAATGTGCGCGAACGGCGTGTCCGGGCTAATTGAGGTCCATTCGCACCATCTGGTGTCAAAATAGTCGGTATATTGAGAAATCGAACCAAGGTGTCGGTGGTCACGTAATGTGGTGAGATATGAGCCGACAATACCGCTTCTTGAAAGTCTTGGTCCCTGCCCATCCGTGTCATGAGCTCGCCATTGTGCTTCCAAGACTCGTCCAGAGGCACCAGCACGGTATGTTCGCCGCTGTTGAGATCCTGTAGCCGTGATAACAAGTTCGCATGCTTCTCCACCATGCTGCAGAAGATAGTCGCGTCGGGATTGGTTCTCAGTATTTCATAGACGGATTGATCTGCGCGGCGCTTGTCCGCTGGCATGTCCTGGAGGCTGTCGATTCCTTTGTGGAACAGAACCTCCAACGCATCTGGATCTGACGGCAGGGGCTGCTCCAACTTCATGATAAAGCAACGTGGCTGAGACTAGATTATGTAGCTTTAGTTTTTAATTTAATAGAAGAAAATAAGGGAGACAAAAAGGCAGTACTATATATCCTGCATTTGACAACAGGCTGGAACGTAATGAATGATCACAGCAGGAGTGGAAACAGCGTACTAGTTATAGTCTAGTTCAGTCGAGCCAAGGTGTAGCGAATCAAGCGAGCAGAGAGAGCAAGAGGGAGCGAGGGCGTCACACTGCAGGGCACGAGCTAAAGCAAAGACCTAAATGAATGTGTGTATGAAGGAGAGAGAAAGAGAGGCTATCTAGGGAAAGAGTGGCGGCTGATGA